ACCGACGTCCTCGACTTCGACAGCAAGATGAAGGATGTGGGGGATGGAGTCCTGACGTTCCAGTCAATTTTGCCCCGCACGCTGGCGAGTTTGAAGGCATACACGATCCTGTACGGCGACGGCACCGCGGAGGCGGTGGGGGACCCTGATCTCGGTGGCCGAGGTGGCGCGCAGGGGGTGAAGGCGGTGCAGTGCACCTGCCAGGCCTTTGCAGCCCTCTTGGATAATGCATCGGTCGTGGCTTGGGGACATGAACTTGCCGGCGGCGATGCGAGTGCAGATTTTTACGAGGAAGACATCGTGCAGATCCAATCCACCGACACCGCCTTCGCGGCCATAACGATCGACGGCGCGATCGATTGCTGGGGTAACCCGCACACAGGCGGGTTGGGGCCCCTTCAGCCTGGCGATGATGGTGAACCTGTACGGCTTGACGTGGAGGGAGTGATCGCCATCCAGTCCACTGAGCGCGCCTTCGCCGCGATTCTCAATGATGGCAGCGTCGTGGCCTGGGGTGATGAAAATGCGGGCGGCGACAACCGCCTGGTCCTACCGGCGCTGAAGAATGTCGTGAAGATCCAGGCGACGGAATCGGCCTTCGCGGCCATTATGGCCGACGGTAAGGTGTCTTGCTGGGGTGACCCGGAAGCAGGTGGCGACGGCTTCTGGTCCGAGGATGGGGAGGACCTGTGCGGGGTCGTCGACGTACAGGCCACCCGAGCTGCCTTCGCCGCAATCACGTCCAGCGGCTCCGTGTACGCCTGGGGTCACGAGGCGGCTGGAGGCGACCTGGGTGGCCGCGTCATCACGGACGCCGTGGCCATCCAGGCAACAGACAAGGCCTTTGCCGCGATCCTGAAGGATGGCTCCGTGCGGGCCTGGGGCCATGAGGAATGCGGTGGAGACTGCGAGGCCGTGCGGGACCGCTTGGTGAAGGTCCGAGAGATCCAGGCCAACGACGCGGCCTTCGCGGCCATCTTGGAAGACGGCTCCGTGGTGACCTGGGGCGAGGCCGACTGTGGTGGCGATGGGCCGTCATTGCAGAACGTGAGGTGCATCCAGGCCTCGGCAGAAGCCTTTGCAGCAGTCCTGCATGATGGCTCCGTGGTCACCTGGGGGGTTGCCGCGGTGGGAGGAGATAGCAGTGCAGTACAGCATCAGCTGCGGGACGTCGTCCATGTGAGTGCGGGTATGGGCTTCTTTGTAGCAACTTTGGGCGATGGCACCACCGTACATTGGGGTGCGATCTGAATCCCCTGGCATGGCAACGGCGCCACGGTACAGAGGCGGCGCCTGCCGGTCGAGTTAAAAAGTGCCCTGTGCTGCAAGTTCGTGAGCCTGCAGTTTGGAGGGCCCTGCCCTCTTGCTCTGCCCAGGTCTCTTCGGCGCGGCGCCTGGACCTTGTCTGTGTCGCCTCTTGAAGTTCGGTATGCTTGTGAAGGGCTGATCTAAATGAATCACTCCCCCTCGCTCCCAGGCCTGGAGTCTTCGGCACGGCTCGCGACGGCTTCGCGCATCGCCTGGGCCCTGGTGCTCTCTTTGCTGCCTCTTCGAAGCCGGCTGGTTGGCATGCTTGTGCATTCGTCGCAGCTTTGTTGATTTCCCGAGCCCCCCAGCTTCAGGGGTAGGTGCGATGGCGCACTTTCGCCGCTCGCAGGCCGTGAACGTGGTCCTCAGCCCCGCGCTGCCAGACCTGGCTCGGGTCGGCGTTCGCCTCGGCTTGGGCGACTATCCGGCCTGCTGCGACCGCCTGCTGGAGCTCCTGGATCCGAAGCTGTGCTCAGAAACTGACCGGATCGGTGTCCAGCAAGCCAACGCTGAGTTGCAGAGGCTCCGGAACAAGCTGGACCTCCTTCCCGAGTCGGAGCTGTCCACGGCTCGCCAAGAGGCGCAAGGGGCGCCGTCTGCCATGGAGCAGCTGTTTGTGACGCTGCCTTCGCAGTCGGCATCTGCCAAGAGCCGCTCCGTTCTTCAAGGGCGAGGTTTGGGGAGGGGCTCCTCTGCTCCCAAGGCCAGTTTGGACAAGTTCATGAAGCAGATCAGGAATACGACCGAGGTTGCACAGCCCAGCGAGCCGAAGGTTGCACAGCTCAGCGAGCCGGTGGTTGCACAGCCCAGCGAGCCGATTGCAGAGCCCAGCGAGCCGATTGCAGAGCCCAGCGAGCCCGCGGTTGCAGAGCCCAGCGAGCCCGCGGTTGCAGAGCCCAGCGAGCCCGCGGTTGCAGAGCCCAGCGAGCCCGCGGTTGCAGAGCCCAGCGAGCCGGAGGTTGCACAGCCCAGCGAGCCGGTTGCAGAGCCCAGCGAGGCAGTGGTTGCAGAGCCCAGCGAGGCAGTGGTTGCAGAGCCCAGCGAGGCAGTGGTTGCAGAGCCCAGCGAGGCAGTGGTTGCACAGTGCAGCGAGTCGGCGGAGCAGGAATCAGCCGAGGAGCCATCCATTCCGGCCTTTGAGAACGGGAAGCTGGGTGAGCCGCTCAAGGAGTACAGGGACCACGTGGTTGCGAAGCAAGACTTTGAGCACTACGGCCCGGACTGCCCGCTGGAGGAAGTCCGACGCTTCCGGGAGTGCCTCTATCGCGACGAGAAGGACGCGGCGAACTTCAACCCCTACTGGGTCGTGCTGGAGTTCCCCACTCGCACTGGTGTGGGGCCGCTGCCAGAGTGGAACGGCGCGATGGCCTTCTGTCTTCGCGAAGGCGATCCCACGAACTTCATGCTCGTGAGCAAGAACAAGGGCGTCGCGGTGCGGGCCGAGAACGTCTTCAAGGTGAAGAAGGACTGCCTGCCCCCGCTGTTCTCCGCGATCCTCCAGGCCGGCTGGCAGCGGGGCAACATCCGCATCTTCGACAAGGGGGCCTACTACCAAGCCAAGGACCAGGACGCGGCGGAGTTTTCCCCACGGGCGGCGCTCCGAAGCCTGGAGCACCTCGACCCCGTCGGCTACATGTCCCACATGGCCAAGCTGGAGGACCGCTTCGGAGGCGACACGGCCCTGCGGACTCGCAAGCGCAAGGCCACGACCGAGGATGAGTACATCTACGTGCAGCGGGAGGCCCTCAACAAGCTCCGCAAGGCCGTTGATGAGGAAAAGGAGGCCAAGGCGATGCTGGCGAAGTCCGCGCTTTCCATCGCAGACTTCAACTACGAGACCTGCCAGTGCTGGTATTGGGACGAGCCGAGTGGCTGCAAGAAGTCCGTGCCCTTGGACGAGGCCGTCGCCACCGCCATCCAGACGAGGAGAACCATAGTGCTTTACGGGCCTCCAGGTCGAGGCAAATCGCCCTTCGCCAAGGCACTGGCCGGCTGGTACATGCAGCACGTCCTGGGTGGCAAGATCGACGAGATGATCTTCACCGGCACCGTGGACAGCCTCCGCAAGGCGTACCAGTTCAACCTGCTTCAGGGCGGGCGGCCCCTGGTTTTCGATGATCTCCTTGCCAACCGGCAAAACGTGGGGAGCCAAGGAGGAGGGCCGGACTTTGTGAAACAGCTCTTGGGCATCTCCCGGGATGATCGAGCGACTCTCCAGAGTCGCTACGCAGATATGCAGATCCCACAGGATTGCCTGAGAATCATCACGGTTCAAGATGTCGACAAGGTGCACCCGGGGCTCCAGGTCATGCACAGCGCCACGGAAACCCACATCCCCAAGGAGTTCTGCGGGGACTTGCATGACATGCCCATCAAGGAGTATTTCGACGTGGACCGCCGGGCAATCCTCAAGAGGATGGTCGCGATCTTCGTCCCCGATGGCATCCTGAAAGGCGAGGTGCTGGGTGGCCGCGTCGAGTCTGATCAGGAGAACATCGCCAGGCTGCGGGAGCTCTGGAGTAAGACCGTCGGCTGAAGCCGCGGCTGGCACAGCGGTCAGTACAGGACCCCAGCTGTGCCCTTAGGGCCTCAGGGCCTGCGCGTTCGGCGCAGCTCCGTACAGGATCCGCTGCCGCGCCCGTGCAAACAGTTTCGCAGCTTCAAGCCTTGTGTGCCGTGTTGTAGGATGCTGCAGGTCGCTTCTGTGCTTTTTTAGCTCCGTCACTCTGATCCCCTTCGCCTCGCTCAGGTTCGAACCTGCGTCACTGTGCTGGTGCCTCTGTTCAGGGTTTTTTCGGACTTTGCGATTGTGGGGGTTGTTGTTCCGTGCGCGCACAGGAGGGCCCTGCACTGCTTCCCCCATCCCGTAAAGCTAGAGTGCCCTGCGACCCCGGCCCTGTTCCCGGGAACCCCGGGCCCCTGGCCCCTCCACAGGTTCGCGGATGGTTGCGCTTCCAGCCCGCTTCTATCTCAGGCAGGTCACTTCCACACTTTCCAGGTTTTCCAGGGTTTCCAGGGGGGTCTTGGGAGGGACCACAGGCCACCCTGGAAAGCATGGAAAATTGAGTCTAGGAGCTTCATTTTTCCACGCTTTCCACGTTTTCCAGGGTGGCCTTTGAGCCCTCCCAACACCCCCCTGGAAAGCGTGGAAAATTGAGTCTAGGAGCTTCATTTTTCCACGCTTTGCACGTTTTTCAGGGTGTTCGGAGTTCGCTTTTGAACCCTATCCTTCCAGCCCGATTCTGGTGTCTAGGAGCTTCATTTTTCCACGCTTTCCACGTTTTCCAGGGTGTTCGGAGTTCGCTTTTGAACCCTATCCTTCCACCCCGATTCTGGTGTCTAGGAGCTTCATTTTTCCACGCTTTCCACGTTTTCCAGGGTGTTCGGAGTTCGCTTTTGAACCCTATCCTTCCAGCCCGATTCTGGTGTCTAGGAGCTTCATTTTTCCACGCTTTCCATGTTGGCTTTTTGGGCCCTCCCAACACCCCCCTGGAAACCCTGGAAAACCTGGAAATGGTGGAAGTGACCTGCCCGGCATTGAGGCCTGGGCTTGTTCAACTCGGCGAGCCTTCAGCGGTGATCGTCCGGAGCCCAGGTCCCGTCGTGCTTAGCAGCCTTGTGCAGCCTCACACGTACCTTGCGCGAGTTTTGTGCCCTCTCGAGCTTTAGCCGCCCCGACTCGTAGCTGCGTCATGGCCTGGAACCTCGTCCTGAAGTTCCTGACTGAGACGGCCGTGGAGCCTGTCGAGCACCCGTTTCTCGACATTGGCGTGATCGGAGAGCCGGATATCGACCGTGCCCTCGACCACGTCGACGTCTTGTCTCAAGTGGCTGCCTGCGATGCTGACTCCCGTCGCGAGCTGCAATCCCCTCTTGCGGATTGGCGTGCGGCGCTGGGGCGCATGACTTCGACCGAGATCGGCCAACGTTTGTCCTTCCTCGGCGAGCACCCACTGCGGGGACGGCTGTTGGCAGCAGCGGAGCGGGTTCGAGGGCTGCGTGGGGACGCTGCAGCCCGACAGTTCGCTTGGAATGTTGCCGATGCCACGTGGCGCGATCCTTCGATTCTCTTGAGGTACGAGGCGGAGTTAGGGCTGGTGGAGACCGAGCTGGATGTGATGGAGTCTGAGCCGTCGGGACCGCCGTAGGGGTGCTGTGCAGTTGCTGTCCCTAGCAGGTCTAGCGCGTTCGACGTACAGGAACCGAGCACCCAGCGTACAGGCTGTGCACAAAGTCCTGCCGCTTTGCCTGCTGTGTGCGCGCATCGGCATGTTCTGCAAGCTGGCCCTGCGCCCAGGTCGGTTCGACGTCTTCCAGGTTCGTGTGGTCTGCAGCCCCTGGTTACCTTAAGTCCCGAACCCCCAGGCCCGAACCCCTAGAACCCTTCATCCCTACTAGGCTGCCCTGCTCGGGCGGCAAGTCTACGGCGGCGCCGTGGGCCCGGGGTTGAAATCTCTAAGCTGCCGCACCGCTAACGGCACCGGCCGCCGAGTCAGCCGTGCTTTAGGCTCCGCGGAGCCGCGGGGCACCGGGAGCGCATGCTTCAGCAGGGTCTCCGAGCCGTCGGTGGCCCGCACCGTCATCGAGTCGTAACTCGAAACCTCCCGCACCGCCCCGTACTGGGGCTGGAAGCTCCTCGCTGCATTGGTGGGGGCCCGGAACGCCCCCGCCTCCTCGAGCCGCCGCTGACGGCTCCTCGTCAACTCGTCGTTGTGCTTGAACTTCGCCGCATTGTCTTGGTAGACCCGGAAGCTCGCAGCCGGCATCGTCTCCACATCCTCGGGGGCCACCGTCACGGCCGCATGCGGGCGGGCATTGTAGGCTTCCGCCGCCTCTTCCACATGGTCGCCCCAGCCCCCACCGTCCCGGGACACCTTTCCCGCCAGATCCTTCTTCAGTGTTTGGATGGCTCGATCCACCACCGCGGTCGCATTGCGATCGGAGGGGTCCTTCTGGCGGTGCACCGCGCCTCCGGGCAGCGCCGCCTCCAAGCCCCGAAACTCGTTCCCCATGTCCGTCGTGACCACGACGTTGGTTTCGTCCTGGACCAGCTCGGGGATGATCTCCGCGGCCGCTCGGGTGACGGTCTCCGCCCGCTTGTCGGGCAGGGCCTTCGTCGCCACCTCCCGGGTGAACACATCCGTCACCACAAGCCCGTACTTGTTCGCCCCCCTCGTGTTCTGGGAGAAATCCACCAGGTCGGCTTGCAAGCGGTCGTTCGGCCCCTCCGCCGCGCTCTTCCCCAAACTCCGCGGCTTCGGTGCGAGCACCTGCCGCGCCACGTCGCTGCGCAATGCCGCCTGGGCCCGCGCACTCGTGAGGTCCCGCCGCTCCGGGAACTCCCGCCGGGCGATCTGAAAGAGCTTGCGGGGATCCCGCACGTTAAAGTCGCGGGCGAGCCGCCCTAAAAGCTCCATCGCGCCGTCCTCTGCCATTTCTAATCCGAGTCGCCTTTGCGCCCCTTCTTCTTCTCGAGCTTGTCGACCCGCTTCTGTAGCTCCTTCACCGTGCCCCAAAGCACGGCCACCATGCGCTGGTAGTTCAACGTCAGCAGCCCCTCGTCCGTCTCGTGGGTGAACATGGGGCCGAGCTTCCCGGCCGCCTGGACCTCTTGGGCAAGCCCACCTGGTCCTTCTGCCCGCTGTCGGACCGGTCGTAGATCTTGGCCTCCACCGCATCGAAGATCTCCCGCATGTCCCGGTGCTTCAGCGTCCGCACATTGGTCTTCACGCTCCGATCCGAGAGCTCCGTGAAGCCGTAGGTGGCCACCATCCAGCCGGGCAGCGACGGGTTGCTCTGGGGGTAGATGATCACATTTGCGCTGCTGAAGCCGCCGCTCACGTTCGTCAAGCTGATGGTCTGGTTGATGCTCGCCAGGGTGCAGCCGCCGGTAGAGGCCACCTCCAGGTCCGCACCGCCCAAACCCCCGTTGGCCAGCAGCCGCAGCCTGGCGAAGCCCGTGGCCGAGGTGTTCTCGACCTCGGCGGTGACGATGGACTGATTGCCCGTCACCTGCATCCTCTCGCACTGGTGCTGCACGCCCTGCGTGCCGCCAACCAGCTGCAGCCAGCTGCTGGTCGTCACGAGCCCGGGGTCCGCCACCAGGGCACCGCCCATGTAGACCGCCCCCGTGTTCACGTAGATGCCCTGGGTGCCGCCGGTGATGGTGAGGTAGTCGTCCGTGGGCCGGGCCTTCACGATGGGGCTCCGCAGCTCCGTGGTGAGCTCCACGCTGTCCGAGGTGGTGGTGCCCGCCACGGCCAGGCCGCCGTTGGCGGAGATGAGGCCCGTGGCCGCGATCGTGGAGCTGGTGTTGAAGGCTCCGGTTGCGGCGGTGCTGCCCACGAAGAACTGGGCGAAATCCGCCGTGGTGGCGTTGAGGGTGCTGGCCGCGGCCACGGTCACATCTCGGTCCATGCTGATGCCGCCGTCGGCGAAGGAGGCCAGCAGCGCCCCGTCCTCCTTGCGGATGGTGACCAGTGCGTTCTGGACCTGCAGATCCCCCGCAGAGCTCCGGAGCTCGGGCGTGTCCACGAAGCTCGTGGCCGTCAGGGAGTTGACCGTCAAGTCCGCGGTGGGGCCCGCCGCTGTTCTCCAGAGTCGTGACTCGAGTGTCGAGGTCCGGCACCGTGGTGTTCTCCAGGGCGGTGACGCGGGTGTCGATGCCATTGACCTGGGAGCCCAGGCTGTTGAAGGTGGCGACCAGGGGGTAGCGGCTGTCGCTCTGGGACTTGCTCCAGCAGTCCGCCTCTATCTCGATCACGCTGCCGTTGCCCAGGATCTGGGTGCCGGTGAGGGGCGCCCGGAAGAGCAGGCTTCTCACGATGTGAGGCGTGAATTGTTTTTGCACCAGGTGGAAGAGGCCGTTGCCCTCGGGCACGGCGGGATTGTTGGGGAAGTACCTGGCGTCCAGCGGCGCGAAATTGTTGTTAGCCAGGTAGCGCCCGTCGGCTTCCGCCTTGGTGTAGGCGTCGCAGGTGAGCTCCAGCGTGGAGTCCGAGAAGAGGCTGCTGGCCCCCAGGGGCGCGCGGGGCAGGAGGCCTTTGATCATCGGGGGCGTCACGTTGGTGCGCACCAGGGACTCGAAGCTGTTGTTGGCGCTCACCGCGAAGTAGCGGGTGTCGGCCTGCGCCTGGGTGAGGAAGCCGGAGCCGGCCAGGGCATCGTCGATCTCGGTCTGGGTGCGCCCCGACGTCCAGTACTGCAGGAAGGTGGCCGTGAGCTGGCTGTCCAGCTCCGCGCGGGGGTAGTAAGAGAGGAGCTCGTTGGCCACGTAGGCTTCCGTCTGGGCCTGGTCGTAGTAGCCGGACAGGTCCACGTTGCCCAGCGCGTTGGCTATCTCCTGATCCGTCTCTGCTCTGGTGTAGAAGTCCAGCAGGGCCGTGATGATCTTGTTGTCGACCTGGGTGCTGTTGTCGTAGCTCGACAGAGCCGAGGAGATGGCCGAGCTCACCTGGGCGCCGGTCTGGTAGTTCGTGAGCTCGCCGGCCACGAAGCTGGACACTTCGCTTTGGTCCCAGTAGGGCACCAGCGCGGTGCTAATCAGGGCCAGCACGTCCGCTTCGTTCTGGAACTGGGAGAGGTCCAGGGCGTCGATGGCCGCCGTGATTGCAGCTCCCGTCTCGAGCTGGGTGTAAGTCTCGGATCGGGCGTAGCTGTCCGACTCGATGAGGATGGTATCGTCGAGGTTCTGGAACGTCGCCGTCAGGGCGCCGGCCACGGAGAGGTTCCGCAGCACATTCGTGCCCCGGAGCAAATTGAAGGTGGCCCCGCCGTTCCAGGTTTGGCCGTTGCTCAGGGTGACGGGCACGAGCGCAGCCGTGATGGCCGCTTGCACTTGAGCTATCGTCCAGTAGGGGCTCAGGTCGATGGTGGCGAGCCCTGCCGCGATGGCTGCGTTCATCGCGGCGGTGTCCGAGTAGGCCGCCAGTGCTGCCGCTATCGCTGCGTCCCTTTGGACGATGGTCCCGTAGGGCACCAGCGCATCGGCGATGGCCTGGGTCATCTGCAGCGTGGTGCTGTAGTCGGCCAGCTGGGTGTCGGTGTAGGTGTTGGCCGACCCGATGGCCGCCACGATGTTCGCCGTGGACTCCGCCCGCGTGAAGTAGTCGGCCAGAGCCGCCGTGATGGCGGAGTTGGTCTCTGCGGTCGTGTAGTACCCGCCGAGCTGGGCGAGCACCCAGGACTCGCTGGCCTTGGGCGCCAGCAAGGCGTCAGCCTCCGCCTTGGAGTAGGCGTCGCAGGCGAAGCTGAGGGTCCAGTCGTCGTTGGCCAACTGGATGCTCAGGGGACTTGTGGCGTGCAAGTTACGGATTTGATTTGTGCCGGCGAGGAGGTCCCAGGTAATGTTCCCGACCCAGGCGGGTGCGTTGACCAGATTGGTGGCCCCGCCCAGGGTGGCGATCTCGGCCAGGAGCCCGTCGATGGCGGACTGCAGCGAGACCTGCAGGGCCGTCAGGTCCCCGCTGGTGGCGAAGGGCCCGGCGTTTTGCAGCGCCAGGATGGCCGCATCCGCGGCGTCCAGCCGGCTGTCCTGCAGGGCCTGGCCGGCATCATAAGCGCCCTGGGTCACGTACCCAAGCAACGCCGTGGTCAGGTCCCCGCTCGTTTGGTAGCCGGCGCCCTGCAGAGCTGCAAGCAGCGCCTCGGCGGCGTCGAGCCGGCCGTCCCGCAGCGCCAGTGCGGCGTCCAGGGCCGTCTGCTGCACGTACTGCAGCAGGGCGTTGGCGATCTTGGTGTCCACGTCCAGCGGCGTGGTTCTGAGAGCCACAGCAGCCGTGAGGTCGCTGGTGCTGGCCATGGGGAGCAGCGCCGTGGCGATGGCCTGGTTGACGTCGGCCGCTGTTTGCCGGGCGGCGACGTCGAGGGCCAGCTGGTCCACGACACTTTTGAGCGCATAGGTTGCGGCCACGGTGGCCAGGGTTGCGTTGTTGGCGCTGGTCACGGTGCTGTTCATCGCTGCCGTGGTCGGATGGTTCGCTAGCTTGAGGTCCACGCTGGCCGGCGTGCTCTTTGAATCGACCTGGACCTCGAGAGCATCCAGGGCCGACTGGTTTGCCTTGGTGGCCAGGCCCTGGGTCAGGCTGGTGTTCACGGCCACCAAACCGGAAGCGTTGGCGAGGATGGAGCCCTCGGCGGCGGCGAGGTC